GACATACTTATTTCTGGGGCTGAGAGCATTCCTTGGTGACTTTTTCCAATGATGCTAGTTGAATTAGATAGTAAAGGCATGGCAGCCAGGTTGGCTCCTGCTGTTCTGCTTGAAATCAGCCTAAAGAAGCAATGTTTGTCAAGTAGAACAATAAAATCACCAGAAAAGACCTTTTTCAGGTTTCTCCAAGCCAAAATAAATGCACAAATACTGACAACAGTGGCTAGCAGGTTCAGAGGATGATAGGCGACAGAGCCTTTCATTTCTAGCTCACTGGTCATAACTTTGCCTATGTTGGTAACAACTGAAACTTGGCTCCCTGGCTAGCTCAAGGTCTGGCCTACTTTCCTTCCACTCCCCCACAGCTAATTTACAGACTTCAGTAACTCCTTATCTTACCAGCTATGGGCTGAGAAGCAGCTGATAACTGTAGTATGATACTCTGGATGCTGCAGCAAAAGCAGCTCTTTCTCTAGGCAGCCCTATAAATCTCGCTTTTGCCCTCCCTGCAAGGAGAAAGCCGCCTTTATCTCAGAGTTTGATTGTGAGCCCTGTTCAAGTGTGGGCTGGATATTGAATTTAGATGAAAACAAAACAGCTTTATAAAAAGCATTTTCCTGTGTCATATCCACCCATTTTACTGGGGCCCAAGCACTTTGAGCAAATTGTATTCAGGTTCCTTTGTAAAGGGCTGTGCAGCATGGCAGAAAAATGAAACAAGTCTGCTCATAAACATTGCCTTGTGCTCATACTTACATATTTTCTGGTGTATAGGTCAGCATGGTTTATAGTAGGCCTGTGCAAAGCGGCTACTATTTGCTTCAGATTCGGGGGCCAATGATTTGATTTAGTGATTTGAATCACTGTCCCGAATTGATTCTGCTGAATCTCTGAATCAACCAGTCCAGGCTCATCCCCCACCCACTCTCCCAGCCAGGCAATAGCTGCCTGCCCGACCCACCTCCTGGCACTTGGGGAAAAAAAGCCCTGACTCACTGCGTGCAGCCAGGCAGGGGGCGATCCTCACTGCCCCACACTGTATGGGGGGCTCTGCATGAGCCCCCCTACCCCCAGCTCCCTGCCCCATGGCTGCACTGCCCACCCCAGCTCTGGACCTTTAAGAACCCCCTCCCAACACAATAGTTCCTGCTTGGGAGGGGTGATCCCTGCTGCCCTGGACTGCATGGGAGGCTCTTCCATGAGCCCCCTGAAGCCTGGAGGCCGCTGCAGGAGCAGTGAGTTTGGGGGGTGTTATTTTTTTTTTCTTCTTAAAGGGCTGGAGCTGGGGCAGGTGGGCAGCCATGGGAGAGGGCTGGGGGGCACCATGGGGGATGGGGGGCTTGTGGTAGAGCCCCCCCATGCAGCATGAAGCAGTGGTGGGCAGCGGGGATTGCCCCCCCCACCAGGCATCACCCAGTGAGTGGGGGCTTTTTGTTTAAAGCCCCGGGAGCTGGGGTGGGTGGGGCAGCCATGGGGAGGGCTGGGGGAGTGGTCAGGGGATGCAGCCTGGCAGGGGTCCTCCCAAGGTCCCCTCCTCCAGCCGTGCCTTCCCCTCCCCTAGTCCTTACCAGCACGGAGTCTGGCTCTAGCTCCCTGCTGCAGCCACCGGGGACTGCTCAAATCATCAAAGCTCTCCAAATCTTTTCCGAAGATTTGGAGGGCATCAAGTTGATTCGGACCTTTTTATTATTTCCCTGATTTGATTTGGATTTGGAGACTCAGCCACTGAATTGGGCCAAATCTCTGAATCGAATCACCACTCGAAGCTTTGCACATCCCAAGAGTACAGGTCAACCCCTGGCTTTCTGATTTGAAAGGTAAGGATTTTCATAGGCATGGTGTATAAGCTGGAGCCAGGCTCAGCTGGCACAGCCTCATCTCCTGCAATAGGCTCTGCAGGGGATGGGGCTGTGCCAGCTGAGCACTGAGCCCATCCCCGTCCCCTGTGAGTGGTGCTGGGCTGACGGGATGGAGCCTCACCACCCGAGTGCCAAGCCTGGCCCTGTCTGCTGCGAGTGGCACTACCAAACGCTGAGCCTGGTGCTGCTCGCAGAGGATTGGGTTGGGTTCACCGCTGTGGTGGCATGGCCACATCCTCTGCGAGCCTGGTGCTGCTCGCTGGGGATGGGGGCAGGGCAGGACTTGGCTGGGCTCAGCACTCAGCAGCTGTGGCCTCATCCCCTGCAAGCAGTGCTGCTGCTCACAGGGGATGGGGCTGTCAGCTGAGCACAGAGCCCAGTCCCATGACTGATTTTTTTTTTTTTGATGTGGCATGGTGTATAAGTCAAGTCTGATTTTTAAGACCCCAAAATTGGGCTTCAAACCCCAACTTACACACTATGAAATATGGTAGTTTTTTTGTTGTAGCCACCTTTGTGTGGGTGAGGCAGGGGTGGAGATGGCCAGAGATTCGTCCCTCCTGTAATCAGATGATTTGTCAGCAGAGGTGGAGAAGACCTGCAGAAGGTGGGGATACTGGTTAAACAGAATAGTGTCATCACTCTTCCTCCATCTTGCTGCTGCATGCCACCAGACTTGCTTGTTTGCTTCTTAATTTTGAAAGGACCTCATTAATTGTCATAGCACTGGGCAAAGACTTCAAAGAGAAAAGGCTCTCAGCTGCAAAGGGTGTGGAATCTGAGGAAGGATCCCCAAAAGAGACTCATACAGCAGTGATCACAGGGATAATTCATGTAATACACCTACTCACCAGCTATTTAAAAGAAAGTTCTCCTGTATGTTTTGTTCCCCAATAAGAGAAACATAAGGCCTTTGAAAACTAAATGCCCAACACAACTGATGCTAAGCTCTGATGAGACTGGTTTATAAAGGAAGGCAGTTCCTCAGACAGGCGTTGCTTACTTGCTGATAGCCTCTTAGGTAGAAGACAGACAAGCTCTCAGTGTACACAGAGATTGGATGGGAAGGCAAAACAATCACCACAGCGCTACATCCTCATTGATTAACAAATGCAGCCATCCTGGTGTGGGCTGAATCAGCTGGTGCCTCTTTGTGGTATTCACTTCCTTCCCCCATTGCTGTGTTGTATAAGATCTGACTGCAGGAAATGTGTTGCCACTTATAAATAGGAGCACATTTAGTGCCTACCCACATCCCTACTTGGTTGTCTTAGTAAATGGCAATATAAATGTGTCCAGCAGATAGCACTGGGCTAGCCTTGTGTATGTCCACATGTTCATTAGCCCAGAATGGCTCTCAGGTATAGTATGTGTGAAAGGGTACCCCGGGAAATGGGACACCTGGTCCCTCACCCTGGTATTATGTGTGCTGACCACCAGCGCAAAGGAGGAAGCACCCCTCAGAGGAAGGGGAGAGAGGAGTTGCAGCCTACACTAACAAGGAAACTGGCTAAAGATTTTTTCCTGCTGCTGCTGATTGCTGACTCAAGCACTTTGCCTGTCACTGGTTCCTTGTAAAGAATAAGGGAAACTTGCACTCTTCCACTCTCAGAGGCCAAGGAGCAGCAGTGAGAATGAGACAGTGATCGTTTCCTGGAGGGCTGCATCCTGTACACCTCAAGGGAGCTGTTGAGAAATAAAGTAATGGTCTCAGAGGTACTTCTTGGTGCAGATGCTCCAAACTGGTGGTGGAACACACGCCATCCACCCTGGAGTAATTACTGGGGAAAGCCAGGTGTTGCAGCAATAGTGCATATGAGGTAACCTCCCCATCTGATGGATGAGTCAGTGCATGACGGTTCTTCCTCTGATTTACATTTCACCATTGACCCAGCTAGAGAGTTTTCAGTGTAACTAATTATGCACATATCATAGCAGAACTCCAAGGTAAGTAGAATACAGGCGTGTGCACCACCACTGAGAACATTAAGATAATTGTCCTAAGGACAACTATATGGCCTTGCCTCTTATTGGAGATGGAGCCAAGCCACACCATTCAGAGGTGATTTTTGCATTTCACTTTCCCACCCTCAGAGATGCCTGGGTCTGGGATTTTTGGTTCTCTTTGTTGTAAAAATAGCAGCCACCTGAAACTAAAGTCCAGGGTGGGATTTTAGTCTGGAGAAGAGATGACGGAGAGGGAATTTAACAGCAGCCTCTAAGTATCTAAAGGGTGGTGAGAAAGAGGACAGAACTAGACTGTTCTCAGGTTAGATATTAGGAAACACTTTATTACTAGGAGGGTAGTAAAGCACTGGAACAGGTTACCCTTAGAGGTGGTGGAATCTCCATCCTGAGATGCTTTTACGACTTGTGTAGACAAAGCCTTGGCTGGCATGAGATAGTTTGATGCTCCTGCTTTGAGCAGGGGGTTGGACTAGATGACCCCCTGAGGTCCCTTCCAACACTTTTTTTTTTTATGATTCTGGCGTCTATTTGGAGACACCATGTGCACAAACTGTGGGTCTGTCTGTTTAATCTGTCTTTTCCTATGGAACCTGAGCGTGGTGTTTGGTTGAGGTTTTATTGTCTTTATGATCTGACCCCACCAGGAATTGTGTGTGAGAAACCATCAGCCTGTCCAGGCCTCCTTGCAATGTACTGCTAATGGGCAATGAAGGCTGCTTACTTTTCTGTTCCAAATGCAACCATGGTCTTTATCCCAATGAAACCAGGGGTTGGTGCAGCCTGTAGTAGGAGTCATTTAGGCACCATGTGTTTGGGGTATGGAAAGCAGGCTGGTATGGACAATGGGGAGATTGCCTAGAACCCCTCATGACTGCTGTACCTCTGGTAAGAGAAAGTGGTTCCAGGAATGAGCTGCTTCAGGAAGGATGATCACTTAGCCTCGAGACCAGGACAATGCTGGAATCAAATGGAAATTCTTCAGAATATCAGAGGGAGCCCCAGGTGAAGCTCCCACTTGGCTAAAGGGAGTCAGAAGTGTGATCCTCCCTTAAAGGAGGTGAGAGGATCCAGGAGAGTCATCAGCCCGGGTTATTAGGCAGTATGAAGGTTTAGTAAAGCCTTCTGAATCCTACACATATAAGAGTCACAAACAGCTTATTGCCACAAATATAACCAGCATCCAGCTGGCATATTCTGTGCTGTTCCTTTGAATTCAATAAAAAACAGGCTACATGGGTTTCATTTTTCCACATCTGCAGCACATTATGTTTTTTTTTCTGTAGCGTCCTCTGTTTAAATCAGCACAAAGTCAGTGGAGGCTGGTGACATCTGGCAGAGGGTAGGCAAAATGGAAACATGTTTATGAGCCAGCTGCTAGCACCGGAGGAGCATCATACTGCATCTGTCAATGAACAGAACAGGAGGCAACCATCCTGTGCTCCCTTTACACAATAGGTTTAAGCCTGGTCTCATTGGTATCACTAGGAGTTTTGCCTTCGGCTTCCTCGAGAGCAAAATTAGGCTCCAAATCTTTTTCTGAAGCTTTTTACTAGTCTTGGTCTGTCCTGTCTATTTAGAGCAATTGTGAGCAAGATGCAACCAGGGAAGCCATGTCATTCAGCTTGCAGGGCTCCACATGGGTCTGGAAATTTGGCAGTGGCAAGTAGTGGCAGCATGAATTGCTGTAGCTCTTGGGATCATGGCAATTAATGTTGCCACTGCTCATCCTTTCACCAAATTTCCAGGCCCCTCAGGAGCTCCATGGACCAGATGCAGAGTGTAGTGTCATTTGGCCTGCAGGGTTGCTCATGGGATGGTAGGAGAAGCAGCAGCGGCCCCAGCTCTGGGAGCTGCAGCAACTAATACTGCCACCCAATTGCAGCCACGCAGGCCAGATGATGTGGTTTTGCCCTCTGGATATGGCTTGCAGACTGGTGGGCCACATGAGCTGGGCATTACTGATTTAGACTGTCAGCTCTCTGGCAGCCTCTGAGACTCACTGTAAAGTTTTTGGTGGAATGGGCACCAGTTTTTGGTTGCTCCCTGAGTACAACCATAATAAACATCATCATTCATAGTAATAATAACAGTAATCAATTAGAAGAAACTAGAACAAATGTTAGTACAGCATTACAGAAGGGTCCTGCTGGCTCAGAAGAAAGGGAAGACTTTCCTGCTATCAGTCCTAGACACTGAAACCTTCTTTCTATCTTTAGTGAATGGCAGGCTATCCAGAGAGATGGGGCTGTGATCCCACCCGAGAGAAGGGGCAAGGGAGTACAGAAGGGCAGAGTGAGTGAGGGAGGGAGAAAGCAGGTATGAGGTCAGAGAGGAAAGGTAATGTGAGGGCCTCTGGGAACACAGCTGATTGCTCACTAATTCTCTAAATCCACCGTCCCTGGAAGAGTAGGACTCGTGCCTGTGCATTATGTATGGGGGAAAAAGAACAAGGCTGGGGATGAGGGAAGTGTGGAGCAGCAGGTGTCATGCACCTCCACTTTCCTGTGCGGTCATGCCCGTCAGACCTGTCATCAAACCACTGCGTCAGGTGTGGGGTGGCTGGCAAGCAGCTGCAGATTCACCAACCGGTTCCTCCAGTTAATTAGAGAAATGCTGAATCCAATCAAAGCCAAACCGGTTTTGACTCAGGCTTTGTGTGCCTGGAAAGGAAGATAAAATGTGAGATCAAGCTCCCTGCCCTGCAGCGGTGATGTGAAAGGGGTCTGAAGTGTTTTAAGTTTGTGAATGGATGTGGTACTTCCCTGAGCAAGAGTCACACCTGTGCACAAGGCTGGACACATGCTTCTTCCACCAGCACCCTCAGCCCTTTCCTGTGCTACACCCAGCCCCACAGCAAGCTGGTCCCACCCAGGCTACTCTTCCCCTGCTGTTTTCGTGCGTAGAGTCTGTCCCCAGACCTGAATTCTGTTGTGGTTTTACAAGAGAGGACAATTGGGGGCTCAGATGAGACACAAACAAACTCCTCTCTAATTATGATCTAAGTTGAGAATTTTCTGGGAAACTTGTCCACACTTTGCACAGGAGATGCCTGTCAGGCAGAGACAAAAATAGCCAGGCTTGGGTTTTGCATATGTTTGGTCTGACCTGCAATGCAGGCAGAAGACATCAGGCTGGCACAGATAAGTCCGGGGGCCTAGCATCAGGGATGAGAGCAAGTCTGGTTTCCAAGATCCTATGAAAAGTGTCCTTGCAGCAAGGACCTTGCGGGAGCTCTGCCAAGACAGAATACATGTTTTTCTTTACGGCTATGGGGTGTGACTGATTTTCCTTGCATCATTTTTTCAGGATTCATCCTGAATCAGTGCCATTTTTCAGTGGGCAGTTTTGAATGTCAAATGCAAGTGATCCAGAAAATTAACAAGACACCATGTCCGCATATTGAAATTTGTCCTTTCAAAGTCTATTGCAAATGTGTCTCATTCTCGCTTATGGAAAATTCGACTCCATGACTTTCTTTCCTGTTATGGGAGTCCTCAAGCTTTGTTAGTAGTTGTGAGGAAGATGGAGAAACAGAGATGGAGAAACAGTGTGCTGTGTTGTTATGACTCTGCACTTAAGTGTTTTCTTTTTTAGAAATCCCTCCATAAATGCAGATAGAAAATAGATGAAATCTGCTTGAATACAGGTAGGAGAGCTAGTTTCAGGCAGGGAAGAACAATGGTAAAACAATAAAAGAAGCTGACACAGTTCAAGCCCTGGTAGAAGTGAATGTGTACTGGTGGCTGTCTGTGTTTGACTGAAACTACTGTTAGAAGGAGTTGATCCTGTTGAAAAAGGGTCCTGATGCGAACTCATTGATGCAGATGTCTCATTAGCTCACCTGTATATAAGGGAGGTGCAAGCGATCCACTGAGCAGAGAGGATCCAGAATGTGGTCTTGACAGGCCTGAAAGAGGAACCCTACAGACAAACCATCCTGAGGAGGGGGCTAGACCTTTATCTTGTTTGTTGTTTTGTTTGTTAGAACCAAAATCCAGGACAAGAAGAGTCTGGATCTCATACAGCAGCAGTTGCCAATCTGTTCAAGCTGCAGGCCACAATGACCCAGTTCAGGTGAAAAGAGGATTTCATAGATTTCATAGACATTCGGGCTGGAAGGGACCTCGGAAGATTATCAAGTCCAGCCCCTTGCCCCAGGGGCGGGAAGTCAGCTGGGGTCATAGGATCCCAGCAAGAAAAGCATCCAAATTTCTCTTGAAGGTGTTCAATGTAGGTGCTTGAACCACATCCGAGGGCAGGCTATTCCAGACCTTGGGGGCTCGGACAGTAAAGAAATTCTTCCTTATGTCCAGCCTGAAACGGTCTTGCAGTAGTTTATAACCATTTGACCTTGTCATCCCTTGGGGTGCTCTGGTGAACAATTGTTCCCCCAGATCCTGGTGGTCACCCCTGATAAACTTATAGGCAGCCACCAGATCACCCCTGAGCTTGTGCTTTTCCAAGCTAAAGAGCCCCATGGCTCTCAACCTGTCATTGTAAGGTCTCTTTTCCTGACTTCTGATCATGCGCGTGGCTCTTCTCTGGACTCTCTCAAGCTTCTCCACATCCTTTTTGAATTGCGGGACCCAAAACTGGATGCAACTGGATGGATGAGTAGGAACCAGGACCCAGATACTGCCACTGCTTCTCCCCATAGTGGCACAGGAAAGCAAAGCCCGCTGCTGCCAAATTCTGTTGAAGCCCCATGTCCATGGGCTGGATCAAATACAGGTTTCCCTTTGTTTATGGTGTATGTGTGTTCCTGGAAAACAGTGCATAACTTCACAAAAAGGGAACCCACTTTACAATGTAACAAATAGGGATACATTCCAAGACCTCAACTGTACTGACCTCAAGACCCATTTCTACCACTTTTACAAGGCAATTTTGGTACTCACCAACAGCAGGGCACTATCATAATGGGGATAGCAACCACAGGAATGCATGGCACAGACAACGAGCGAGGAGCACACATCCACGCAGGAGACTATATTTTGGTGCGTGTCACTCCCACAATGCATCACACAAAGCAGCTAACTACGAGATTCCACCACACTGATTGCATAAGAGTGAACTTATGTTGCATATAACACATTTTTGGTATAAAAAGGGTCATCGCGTAAGAGTGAATTTGCACATAGAGAACCCGCATAAAGCAAGGGAAACCTATAGTTCCAGGGGCTGGATCCAGCCCATGGGTTGTAGGTTGCTGACCCCTGTCATTGAGCAAGTTGGACAAGCCACCTCTTTTGGGATGCCAACATGGCTCTGACTGTCCAATTTTATGTTGCCAAATGCCCACACCTCTCCTTTTTAGAGAGACATAAAGAGGTACATGCACTGGGAATAGGAATCCCACATTTGGGAAGCTGCTGCAGAAGTAGGAGAGAAGCTAAGCACAAATATGTTCTTTATTCTGCATGTCACAAATAAAACTTTGGCTTCCAAAACTAAACTGTCTTGTCACACTCCACACAGCTGTAGCCATTTCAGAGCTGAGTACATAATTATTTAGCAAAGCAGGAAAAGCAGAGCTATACAGCTGCTGGTTACAAAATCTGCTGATGTGCAATGCTTATGAAGATTTACAATTGCCAGTATCAGGGACAACAAACTAATTGACACAATATTATTTATTGGCTATGGAGAATGTCCACACCTGGAGTAATACTCAGGGTTGCTGGTGAGAAGGTGAGTCTCAAACCATCTTCTACTTAATCTTAGAGTATATCTTCATTCCAGGGTGTGACCAAGGCTGGGTTCAAGCACCTGGAGAAGCCTCACTTGGGCATGGCAGCTACACTGCTAAGCTGTATCTAATTTACTCTCTCCTCTCTAATGCTGGGTAGAGCATTAAGTCCCTGATACAGCACTTAAGATGTTATTAACTGCTTAATGACATCTTATAGTGACCTGGCCACACATTCATTCAATTAATGGCGTGATAAAACCAGGAAAGAGAGATAAAGTTATTACACAAAATATGTGTAATAACTTTGTGGCTGGTTCCTATTCTGCCTGTAACTGAACATGTAGCCAGTCTCCCATCCTCCAGAACACAGGGCATGTCTACATGTGCTTTTACATATGCCTAAACTTAATGGTCATTTAAACTTAATGCCTAAACTTAATACGCATACCTAAACTTAATGCGCATTAAGGTGATTTAAGTGCGTATCTACAT